ATAATAACTAAAATATTTTAAAAGTATTTATGAAAAAGAATTATTCATAAACGAGCCACAAATATGAGCCATATAGATAAGTTTGTTTCCTAATAATTACATTTTAAAAATGACAAGCAGATAAAATTAATTCTATGAATATATTTTATTTAACAGAATATATCCAAGATCATTGTAATTCTAAGACGAAATCACTCTAAGAATTGTAAGGGAATTTTTTTTTGCATGATTTTGTGCCATGCTTTCAAAGTTCTGTTATTCATTTATAGCACATCTCAATTACACTTGCCACATGGGGTAAGTGCATACCATATTGTAAAGCTCAGGTACAGAGGGTGATGAGAGAAAAGTTTTGAGCTGCTCTAAATTTAATTGCAAAAAGCCTCAGAATGGAAGCAAGCAGAATTGACGGAAGGAAGGTTAACAGCATGTCTTTATGGGCTGTCTTGCTAGCCTAATGCTTCCCCTACTTCAGCTACCCTTGCTCCTTTAATCTATAGCTCATGTATGTTTGGTATAAATAATGCATCTCTTCATTTCCCATACTTTCACTTTTAAGATACTCTGGATTTCTAGACCCAGCAGACATTTTCCCACCTGCTATCAAGTCTTGCCTTGGGGGTTGCAGCAACTTGTGGCAGGACTTGCTTTCTTTCAGGTCCTTTCACTTCAGAGACCCCTTGATTTAGCAAGAGTGTGTGCTGGGGAGTAAGAGCCGATGAAGCAGTGCTTTAACTGGGGTAGGGTGAGGTTTAGGGCAGAGTCTTGAACAGCAAGATCATGAAGGCTCTACCCTTATGAATGGGATAAGTGCCCTCATATAAAGATCAGAGTGGAAGACACCAGGAAGACAGCAGTCTGTGAACCAGAAAGTAGCCCTTACCAGGCACTGAATCTGCTGCTGACACTGAATCTGCTGGTGCGTTATGTTGGACTTCCAAGACTCTAGAGCCATGAGAAAAAAATTGTGTTTCTTTTCTTTATGTCACCTAGTCTATGATATTGTTATAGGAGCCCAAACAGACAAAGGCAATGACAAAGCACACCCCACACCAAAGCTACTCATCTGAGTGAGAAATGAAGCCAAACACACCATCAGCACAGAGTCTAAAGAAGTTTGAGGGGCTGGAGAGATGGCTCAGCAGTTAAAAAAGAGTACTGTTCTTCCAGGGAACCAGAGTGTGGTTCCCAGCACCCATGCTGGGCAATTCACACTGCCTGTATTTCCAGCTCCAGGGTATATGACACCTCCCCCTGGACTCCATGGACACTTGCACTCACCTGCACAGACAACACAGACACACACAAACACATATAATTTAAAAATAATGAAAATAAATCTTTAAATAATGGCCAGGTGTGGTGGCACACACATTCCTTTAATCCCAGAACTCAGGAGACAGAGGCAAGCAGATCTCTAAGTTTGAGGCCAACTTGGTCTACATAATGAGTTCAAGGTCAACTAGGGCTACATAATAAGAACCCATGAAAAAAAAAGAAGTTTTGAGGTTCAGCAGCAGTTTCTATTATTATTATTGTTGTTGTTGTTGTTGTTGTTGTTGTTGTTGTTGTTATTCTTGGCAGTCCTGATGACTGAACCTAGGGCATGGGAGACAATGCTCTACCACTAAGCCACATTCATACCAGCTAAAGACTCTTACGACAGTGTCAGTCTGCTCAGTTAATCTGTGGTTGATACAATCATTGCTGTTGCATTTTCTGTAAGAAATATATGAAAATAAAACCTTTACGAACACATCATCATCTTCCCATTTGAAGGGAAAATATGAACAAGTACTAGGAAATTATTTACATCTGCTTTTTCTTTTTAAAAATTTTTTTATTTATTATTTTTATGTGTATGAGTGTATTGCCTGCATGTAGGTAAGTGCACCCATGTTGTGCAATGCCCAAGGAGGACAGAAGAGGCTGCCGGATCCCCTGGGACTGGCGCTACAGACAGTTGTTAGCTGCCATGTGGGTGCTGGGATTCGAACCCGGATCTTCTGCAAGAACAATCAGTGTTCTTAACTGCTGAGCCATCTCTCCAGTCCCTACATCTGCTTTTTCTTTAAGAGGAGAAAGAAAGGGAGAGAAGAGAAAAAAAATATGAGTTTTTCTTTTGAAAAACAAGCTCTCAGCAAAAAGTTTTCCAAGAAGACAATAATGAAGACCTTTCGCTCCCAGGGGTTAGGGGTCTAGATTAGTAACAACAGGAGGTAGGAGAAATAAAGCCTAATGAACACTGAATTTACAAACCAAAGGGCATAGATTGAGAGAAGCATAATTATCACAACGGCAGCTGAAGGTTAGATGGTCCAGTTTTCTTGGGCTGGTGTTCCCATGGGTGTGAAAAATGATATTTTCCATTTTCTGAATGAAATATTGAACAATTAATCATGACTAGGGCATCATTTTAGGGACCTGATAACTGGTATTCCAGTTCTTCCCTAATCTTTACAGGAGACTCCTACTCACTGACTTTGTGACAGTGAATTCTCAAATTGTTAGACATAGTCTGAGTTTGTCAGAGACACAAGATATGAGGTTTTCTTGTGCTAGGAATCTGTGAAACTGAATGGACTGTGAAAATTTTCTAGAAGTTCAAAAAATTAACATAGTTTGATGTCAGGTGTGGTGGCAAAGGCCTGCAATCCCAGCACTTGGGAGACAGAAGCAGGCAGATCTCTGTGAGTTCAAGGTCAACCTGGTCTACATAGTGATTTCCAGGCCAGCCAGGGCATGAGACTGTCTCAAAAACAAAGAAAACTAACAGGGTTTAAATCAAATCTAACAGTTTTTCCACGCAGCAGCAGCAGTTGGATAATCCATACCCAAATAAAGGGCCTATTAGTGAGATGCTATACAGCTCCTGCCCATAATGTTATATTAATCCAATTTTAATATGACAGTATTATGTAATCTCATAAGCGTTTTCTGTTGTATATTTCTAAGACAGAATGCTCTTACTCTTTTCTAAGGTAAATTCTTATTTTCACCTGTTCTTTTATACTAAAAGAGGGAAAATCAAAGTCATTAAATCAAGACCTCTTTAAGAGATGAGAATACTGTTCTATATTTAAAAAAGAGAAAGAAAAAAAATACTGAGCTCACATACGTAGTTTTTGGCTCTAGGTGAGGAGGTGAGGGTTTTCATCTCTGGCCCTGGGAACGTTTGGGGCAAGATAATTCTTGCTGGCCTCTTGTGCAGGCAGTGTTTATCAGCATTTCTGCCTTCTGTCCAGCAGATGTCAGTAGAACCCTACCCCGGTTTTGTCCTGAATAATCTGGAATCTGCCCATGTCTTTAAGGGGGGCCGAATCATTCCTGTTGAGAACCCACTGGTCTATACCCTCAGCAAAACTCAACATCCACAATGCCTGGCTATTTTCGAAAAAAAAAATCAAACAAACAAAACAAAAAATGAAGGCCAAAACCTTGAGACTTGTAGCTTTTGGCAACAACCAAAAGAAAGCGAAATGTCTTCTCCACGATAGTAAACCAGAGACAGGATTCTGTTTTTTATGTAAATAAGAGGATAATGCCAACATATACAGATTTTCCTGTTTATGTACAAAATAGCTACCTTAATAAACCCTTAGCCTCAGTGGTGGGGCGAGACGCAGATGGTCCATGTTCACAAGTCCTTTCTATTTATATTTCTCCTATTTTTCCTGTTGGCCTTGATTCTACCCATTCTTGATGCCTCTAAAAGGCAGAGAACTAGACCACCTCAAACTGATAGGCGTGGGTTCTGTTCAAACAGCTGCCCTATGTTGTCACCAGGAAATCTGCTGATATTTATTGCTGCAAAGACTTGGGTTTCAGCTCTAGGAAGACTGACTCCAGCTATGTAGCCAGTGCCTGTAAGGAACAAATTTTATGTATGAACCCTAAGAGATCATGTCCAAATTCCTATGGCAGACTGCAAGCTTGAGGGACCTCCAGCAATGCTGATATCTATCCAGGTTTTACAAAGTGGGCTGTCTAGTCCTCGAGTTGGTCAAAGACGTGAACCTGTCATGTGCACTTATGTAGGGTGATCATTTTATAGAAGGCAGGCTGCACAAGTCTTTATTTCTACTAGCCAACCAATTAAAAATGTCCAACACTGGATTAAACATTTGATTTCCAGACCTTTTTTGGAGCTTTTGTACATTTCATACAACAATTCTTAATCAAATTTAGACCCCCTCTCCCATCCATGCCCCCACACTCCCCTGCCCCCACTGGACCTCATGCATTCTGCCACACATGTTAACCCCTATCCAGTCAAGCATTTGTATCCAGATGTCCTTTGGTGTGAGTTCATCCACTGGAGCCTACTCAGCCTATCTAGAGACTGTGAGGAAGGTCTACACCATTTCTTTTGCCTAGATAAGGTCTGTCATTAAACCTTAAATTAATTGGGACTAAGAGACTGAGTGCTCTTGCAGAGGACCCCAGTTCAAGCCCCAGCACCCACACGGTGGCTAACAACTGTCCTTAACTCTAGTTCCAGGGAATCTGACACCCTCTTCTGACCTCTGTGGGTATTGCATGATACAGGTGCACTTACATGCAGGCAATACACATAAAATGAAAATAATAAATAAAACATTTTTTAAAAATTAAATTAATTTTTGTATTGAAAGCCAGTTTTGAGAAACAGAGGTCAAGAAATTAGCAACAAAGCAAAGAATCTCATTTGTGAACACTGCATTTCCACATGCAATCTCCATGTGTTTTGTTGTAGTAGCAGAATGTATGTGACCAGGTTTGGGCAACAGCAGCAGACAATGTTGGTTTTCTGAGATGACAGAATGAAGATCTCCCACCCCCACTCTTGCCTCCAAGGTGCTCTCTAACTTACCTTTATCCTGTTTTAGCCTATTCACTGAAGCCCTAAATAGCTAATTCCTGAGACCATTAGTTGTGTTTGCCTCTTTGAGATTGCCTGGGGTGTGGTGCTAGAGAACTGATGGTCTTGCTAACCACCTAACCATCTTGTTCTCTCCTAGTGCCTCCACTCTGGGAGAACTTGGACCTTGTTCCTGCCGGTGATCGACAGTCACCCATCAACATCCGGTGGAGGGACAGTGTTTATGATCCTGGCTTAAAACCACTCCACATCTCTTATGATCCGGCTACCTGCCTCCACATCTGGAATAATGGGTACTCTTTTCTCGTAGAATTTGAAGATTCTACAGATAAATCAGGTAAAGGCAAGATCTGGTAGTCTTATGTTTAGTTAAAGGAACTGTTATATCAACATAGGACACATCAAACTGTTTCCATGGTAATACTGACCTCTTACCACAAGAGCATGAAACTCATTAGTTTTACTCTTCTAGTATATGGGGAAAAAAACCTCCCTTTTAGTTTCTTTCTTCATCAATGTAGTTTTCCATTTATGCTAGACTGGCTTGCCAGGAGCTGTTGGAATCTACCTGTTCTTGCCTTCCAAGGATGGGGTTACAGGCATGTGTAGCCATGTCCAGCTTTTACATGGGCACTGGGATTCAAACTCAAGTCTTAATGCTTGCACAGCAAGCACTCTTACCCACTGAGCCACCTGTCCACCCCTGCTTTACTTTGTTCCTTATGGTATGACACAGCTCCCCAAACCATGAACATTTTACTTAACATATCTCAAAGAAGCAATTGTTCCTTTTCCTTCCAAATTCATGGACATCTTTTGTAATTTTTCTGAAACTTGAGAGTGTGTTCCCATCTCAGCTGGAAGCTCATAGTATTACCCTGTGTGTAAGAATTCCAGAAGTGTTCAAAACAGCAAGCTAAATTCCTATGTTCCAGGTGACCATCCTGGATCTCTATCATTATCCATGTTAAACTTATGGGCAGGCCCAACTGTGGGTGCCTGTCCTCATGCACTCACTCTGGACACATAGCAGTCCCTTCAAGGCTCAATCCTATCACACTCCTTGGTAACCTGTCTTTTCTTCTGAAGATCCTGGGCTATTGGTCAGCTTTGAAAACCCTTGGTAGACTTAGCATGTTGACAATATACCATTGCATCACTGAGTTGGAAACCTTAGGAAGCTGTAAAACGGTTTTTCTTAACCAAATGAGTTAACCTCAAGAGATTTCAGAGTAAATGGCTGTGTGAGGGGTTTGTTTGGTTTGGTTTTCGAGTATCAAGTAGCCACTCACCTCCTCCAACTCTCTCACATAGCAGCCACTAACTCTTGATCCTCCTGCCTCAGCCTCCCAAGTGCTGAGATTAGAGGTGTGTGCCACTGTCCGGTTTCAATAGCTGTTTAAAAAAAATTTTAGTCTCTCTTTTTCTTCTGAACATACATTTAAAAAGACTTATTCTACTCATTTGCACCAGTAATCTCAGATGGAAATCAAATGACACGTTTTCATCATAATAGCTGTTTAGGTACCCACAAAGCCATCTGACTAAAATTGTCCTTTGATCCTATCTTCACTGGGTGAGTCAACCTCTAGGACAGTCAGTACACTGTTTTTGTTTGTTGTTGTTGTTTGTTTGTTTTTATAATCATGGAAGAAAATCCTAGAGAAGTTGCTCATTTTTCACTCGCGTGGTGTGCTGGATAGCTTTAGTGTCAACTTGACACACCTGGGTTGAGGGAGCCTCAATTGGGGAATTTCCTCTATTAGACTGGCCTGTGACCATGTCTGAAGGGCATCTTCTTGATGAGTGATGTGGGAGGGCCCAGCCCACTGTAGGTGATGCCAGCCCACTGTAGGTGGTGCCACCCCTGGGCAGGTGGGCCTGTATTGCATAAGAAAGCAGGCTGAGCAGGGGCCAGGAGAGCAAACCAGTAAGCAGCATTCCTCCGTGGCCTGTGCTCCAGCTCCTGCCTCCAGGTTCCTGCCCTGAGTTCCTACCTTGGGCTGTTCCCAGATGAACTGTGACCCGGGATATGTAAGCTAAATAAACCCTTTCCTCCCCAAGTTGATATTTGTCAGAGTGTTTTGTCACAGCAATGGATAAACAGACTAGACACTTGGAAAGGGTTAAAACTGAGTTGTTTTTTATGCTTTATAATTATTTTCTATAGAATACCATCTCTAATAAGTATCTAACTTTTTTCTCCCTCCTTTTCCTTTCAGTGACTGTCTCCCATTTCCTGCTTATTTTTCATTGCTATTTCTCCATTCTGTTTCAAAACAATCCATAGCATTCAAAGAGAGACAAAAATAAAAGAGCAATTTAACCTAAAATAAAGAAAATAAGAAAACAAAGCAAAGACATCCTAGAAATGAAGACAAGCAAAAAACAATTCTAGAAAAATCCACCAAACCTCAATTTATGAATTCCAAAATACAACACAAAACAAAAATATCCTAAGAAATGATACTACCAGTATTCATTGTAAGATCTGGTTTAAAGTGAAGGAAAAGGATCCAGGGAAGGTATGTAACATAAAGCATCATACGATGCAGCTAAAGGGACATTTAGAGGAAAATTCATAGATGCAAAAATCTATGACAGAGAAGAACATCATCCCATCAATAAACCTAGCTTCCTACCTTAAGAAGCTAGAAAGAGAAGAACAAATTAAATCCAAGGCAAGAAAAAAGAACGTAAGAGTAGGGCAAAAATCAATGGAGTGAAAAAGTGGTTCTTTGAAGGATCAACAAAATTGACAAATGTTTAGTTAGATAGATCAAGAAAAACATGGGAGAAGAGTCCAGTTACTAAAACCTAGGATGAAAAAAGAGGCAATGAAACTTCCTTTACAGAAATTACAGATTAATAAGAGAAGGCATGGGACCATATCCTCTGTCCTCTTCAGGGTATGGTTTTGTTATCTGGTTGTCCTGACATCTAATTTCATTTCTGTTGCTCTGAGAAAATATCCTGACGAGAAGCAACATAGGGAAGAGAGGGTTTATTTATGTTTTTTGGGGGGAGGGGGTCTTTTTGAGACAAGGTCTCCTTATAGCTCCAGCTGGCCTGGAACTCACTATGTAGACCAGGCTGGCTTTGAACTCAGAGACCCTCCTGCTTCTGCTTTGCAAGTGCTGGGATTAAAGGCATGCAGCATCATGCCTGGCTTTATTTACTTTTTTTTAAAATCCAGGTCACGGTCCATACTTTAAGGAAATCAAAGCAGGAACTTACAGCATCACATTCACAGTCAAGAGCAGAAACAAGAATGGATGGATCTTTGCTTGCTTGCTTGCTTGCTGGTTTTGCTCAGCTAGCTTTCATTATTCCTTTTATAGCTCAGGGCCCAGCCCGTGAAATGGTGCAAACCACATCTAGGGTGGATCTTCCTCTATCAAGTAGCAGTCAAGATAATCCCTTACAGACATGCCCATAGGCCAATCTAATCTAGAAAATTCCTCAATCTTTATTTATTTATTTATTTATTTATTTTCATGTTATATCTATGAGTGTTAGGCCAGCATGTGTGTAAGTGTGCCCATATCGTGCAGTGCCCATGGAGAACAGAAGAGGGCATTGGATTGCCTAGAACTGGAGTTATAGACAGTTGTTAGCTGCCATGTGGGTGCTGAGATTTGAATTTAGGTCTTCTGTAAGAACAGCCAGTACTCTTAACCTCTGAACCATCTCTCCAACCCCGCAATTACTAATCTTAATGAGTACATGTGGGGAACAAGAAAAAGTGTAGGAAGAGACACCAAATTTTCCCTGGGCTGAAATGGATAATTCCTGTAAGTTAATTATCTTCACTGAAATTCTTCTTTATTGGAATTATGGAAGAGGAGAGATGAGTCCTATTACCCTCCTAAGGGTACTGCCTGCCCTACCCTGCTTCATTTTTATATGGCACCAGACAGGCAGTGAATCTAGTAAGAATGCTTTCCAAAACCATTTCAGGTTTTCTTCCCTATTTTTTATTCTACATTAGCTTTTTTTTAAAAAAAAATGGTAATTTTAAGTAAATTTACAGAGCAGTGCAATCATCAGTACAATCCGAATTTAGAGTGGGTCCATCATCCCTGGGAGTCCCCATGCCCACTTCCTCTTATATATACGGCTTCTGTGCACTACTTTTTCTTCATCGTAGTATTTTCTCTGCTAGTTCTTTCACTTGCACATTGAAAAGAGAAAAAAAAATACAGATTTTCACTGTCTGCCAGACTCAGTGCCAAATGTTTTATATTTGTTATCTGATTTTTTAAATAAACTTGAGGGTTTATCATCTTAGAGAATAGAAGGAATACAATATCAACAATCTCAAGTACATGCACATGTATTTATTTGTACTTCTTGGACTGCTCTCTCTGCTTATTCCTGGATGACAGGGTTTCCTCTTCTCCTCAACTTATGTGCCACACCCAACCCCAGTCTTCCCCTTCACTGTTGATGTGGTTACCAGTGAAAATTCCATCAAAGAGTTGGTCTGTTTCTTTAGTTACTTGTTTCATTGTGGATCTAAATGTCATGCACTGTGCCAGTGTTAATATACACTTACATCCATAAACCTGCTACCTTAGTTCTCCTGAATTTTAGACAAAATACGGAAACAGAAATTGGTAAAAGAAAATGAATTTATTTAAAGTTTGGCCAAATGAGAGGGGCCTAATTTCCTCCCCACCTGCTTGTGACCATCTTACATCTTACAGAAAAACGGGAGGCAAAGGCTACAAATAGGCACATTTAGCTCTGAGATAGATTAACTGATCTTTTCCTAGGGGAAAAGGGAACTGGGCCCCAGGTTGCCTCTGATTTCTGTTAGACAGTGTTTTCTTTTAATTGCTATTTATTAGACATAGTGTCAAGTTTCATAAAGATAATTAAGCATACCATGTATTTTTTAAATTTATTTTTATTTTCTCTGTATGAGTATTTTGCCTGCTTTTATGTGTACCACATGTGTGCAATGCCCATGGAGGCCAGAAGAGGGTGTCAGATACCCTGAAACAATTGTGAGATGCCATGTGTGTGGGTGCCAGGAAGTGAACCCAGGTCCTCTGCAAGATCAGCCAGTGCTCTTAACTGCTAGGCCATTTATATATTATGCATTTTGACCATAGTGACCCCTATATCCTAGACTCTCTCCCTTTCTCCCTCCTCCTTCCTGCTTGTTTTCTTCCTTACCCCATGTCCTAGTTTGTTTCTCCATTGCTGTGACAAAACACTCTGACCAATACCAACTTGGGGAGGAAAGTGTTTATTCAGCTTACATCTCCTAGGTCACAGTTCATTAGGGAACCCAAGGTAGGAACTCAGGGCAGGAACCTGGAAGCAGGA